GAGAGACCTTGAGGGTTTAGCCATCCCACTATTTAAGGAAGCAATCTGGCAGCCAACAGAGTCTGAAGTAGCATAATAAAGTTTAGAAACTAAAATTTCCTTTTAACACATGCCAAAGGGTTTAACTATTAAATTTATAACAACAGCATTTCCCAGCCAGGAGCTAAAAATGAACTCTCTTTACCTGTCTTCCTCCTTCCTAGAGATTTGAAGTCTTCCCCTTTCCATCATAAAACTCCTTTTGCATTACAAGCGGGAAGCAACTAGCTATATAGAACTCACCAGACCCCTTATGTTGCCAGTGGCTTAAAACTAAACCACGTAAGGAATAATATTTATGTTTATATACTGTGTATTCATAGGCTTTGAAATTTCTGACATTAATATATTGTATACAATAGGCTTCTAATCCTAAGTAAATATCCCCCTTGGATGTCTGATAGACATCTCAAACTTAAAATACCTCATACTGAACTCTTAAGCTCACCTTATCTCAAAATCTTGCTCTACGGATAGTAGCCCCCTTATCTAATCATGACTAATTGGTTCCTTTTAGTTTCTTAGCAGAGAAACCCAGAATCATCCTTGATTATTTGTGTGTGGGGTGAGTGTGTGTGGGGGGGGGGGGGGGTGAAAGTGTGTGTGTGTGTGTGTGTGTGTGTGTGTGTGTGTGTGTGTGTGTGTTTAAAAACTAACCTCAAGAAATCCTACTGGCCCTACCTTCAAAATACATCTAAAATAAGATCACTTCTCATGAGCCCTGTGGGAGCCCCTCATCTCCTCTCGCCTGAATTTTGCATTTGCTTCCAAAATGCTTCACTTGCTTCACCTTTACCCCAGGGCAATCATTCTCAAAAGAGCAGCCTTCAAAACCCTTCTAAAATATGTCAGATCATATCACCACTGTGCTGAAAACTCTCCACTGGCTTTCTCATGTCACTCAGAGGCAAAGCCAAGTTCTTACAATTTCATACCAGTCTTATGGGATCTGGTCCTGTGACCCATCTGACTACGTCTCCTCCCACATTCCTCCTTATCACTGCAGTCCAGCCACAGGGCCTTTGCATTTGCTGTTCCCACAGCCTGGATTATTTTTCCTCCAGAATTTTATGGCTTACTTCTTTACCTCCTTCAAGTCTTTGCTTAAATGACACTTTCTCGGTGAGGCCTCCCTGACCATTCTAATAAAGATTACAACACCTTCCACCCCCACCCGTGTGGGAGGGTCCCCTCCCCAAGGAGAAAACAAAAAACAAAAAAACCTCAAGGCAACCTGTCTATACGTGTACGTGACAACATCCCTCACAACTTTGTAACATGAGACCACTTAATCAGACTGTTTGTGTGTTGCCATATATGGAGACAAAGAAATAGAAAATGTATAAAAAACTACACCACGTGGCATTCGGGGTGCAGTTCTTCTGGTACAAACCCAACTGAGCAGTGCCGGCTCGAATAAAGTTGCTTCCTGGAAAGAAAAGCCTCAGTGTCATGACTCTGTGTGAGAATCCTACTGTACTCCTAACTCTCCTGCTCATTTTTCCCACAGAGCACTGATCACCATCATGATATGTTTTATTTACTTATTAAAGTTGCCTATCTTTTCCCACTAGAATGTAAGTTCCACAAGACCAGTAACTTTTGACTGACTTATTCACTGATGTATCCCTAGTGCCTAGAATCGAGCCTGGCACATAGTAGGTCTGGCCACCATGTACAACCTCACAGGATGCATATGTAACAAGGCCAGGGCACACTATTTATATGGAAATGGTACCCCCTGGTGTGGTGCAAAATTTCAGCCTCGCAGGATCGCAATAAACATCTGTAGCATCCAATAAAACTTGTTTTGCCCTACTATTTTAAGTACACCTCTGTCAATAATCTCTAGAAAAATCGCTAGTATTAAAGGAACACTTGGAGAGTTTATAGACTCACGGACCAAAGGAAGATATTTATAACAGCCCCTGGATTGTGGGTTTAAAACTACCTACACCACCATAAATACTGTTTACTAACTAAACAAAGTATTTTGAATTCCACTGGAGGTGGGCAAATTGGCTATGTTTTGGAACTCTACATAATCACTATTTCCCCACAAGATAATTGAACAGTAAGTGTTATTTTAAGTCATCTTGGAAGAATTCCCAGTTTCACTGCAGGAGAAAAGAGTTTATGTCTTGGGATTTTGTTTTGTTTTCAGAATCAGCACACACGACTGTTCATGCAGCTCTTTTGTCTGGTTGTGATTAAGTTAAGTCCATTACTTCAAAGAAGCTTTGCCATACTTCAGCAGGATTTACTCACTAACCTATCCTATTCTTCACATTTGTAACATTCTCTCCTGGCATGTTTCTTCCTGTTACAGCGGATTACATAAGATTTTATAAATAAATATACCAGCCTCCTCATCTTCCTGTCTGATTAATATAAGAATGTCACAATTCCTTTGGAGCAGCCACTAGTGATGTCATAGCCTTTCCTTATGAGGATGAATTGTCAGGAATCAGAATTTCACTGAGGCCTCCGGGTGAAAGCAAGGAGGAGAGTCTACTGGAAATGTTGCCAACAAGGAGTTAGCAATGCTCTATGAAACATTCTCTGCAGTCACTAGCATGACCTGTCGGCGTCTTACTAATGTGGTTCACCATATTTAAAAAATGAGTCATAGATGATAAGGACCCCCTTGTTCTTTACCGGTCACCGGAATGATCTGTTTTTCCGCTGTTTTCTATTGTTTTGTGTTAAGAGTTTAATATGGCATAATACTGCCAGAGATCTATGTATTCTTTGAGAGAATTTCAAGTATCTTCACATCCTTTTTGTTAAGAGGCACACAGTTGTACAGATACTTCTTTCTCCCTCTTCTTCCCATCTGATTAATGTAGGAGACCACGGCCCTCACAACAGTAGTGGAGATGTCATAACCCTTCCTGAGGGTGAGATTATCAAATCCTGAATTCTTTGATGAGGCAGGAGGAAGTGAAGGGGAGGGTCTCCGGGGAACACTTAGGCAATAGGAGAAAGCAAGTAGCCTTTTGAGCTTTCTCATTGAGAAAAAGGTGGCTGATGGTGCTTTACTGCCAAAGGCTCTGAAGAACAGGATGGTTAAATGTTAGATGAGAAACACTTAACTTTTATTCTTCAGTGTGTTTCTCTTGGGCTGGTGAGGATGGATGGAAAATGTGCACAGTACAAGTCACCCGAATTACCACATTTAGTACTATTTGAACATACTCTGCCCTTACCTATATTATGAACAGTACAGCCTGGGCCTACAGTGTGGATGTGTGCTTACCAGATGACCTTGGCTGGTGTCCTTCCTGTCCACAGCCTCCTTATACGCCACACAGCCACACCGCCATCACAGTAGGTGTGGCTTGACCATCATTTACAGTTTCTATTCCTTGATTATTCTGGAACCCAACCCATTTGTGCAGATAGCTTTCCCAATCTGGGCCCTATGCCAGGCGTTCGTGTAGCTAAGAGGAAGGAGAATAACCTAAGGGTTAAGAGCTTGGGCTTCAGAATCAGTTACACTTGGCTCTCACTAGCTATGTGAATCATTAACTGTCTTTCAAAATAATCTGTATTTTCCTCTTTCCTCTGTATTCATACTCTTCCCTCTGCTGAGAATAATGACCGACACCTTCATCCTCTGGTATTCATTTTTGTATCCTCTGACCATTTTAATGTTTGTTCCAGAGGGAAGCCTATTTCTATATTTCTGTTCATTTGTACTGTTATTGTTTTCCTTGGCATGTATTTTAAACAGCTTTACTGGATTTAGTAGATAGAAGCACACCTTCATCTTTCTGTACTCATTGTGGCATTTAGTGTGAGTCACATGTTATTTAATCAATAACGCTAAAACATTTATGCAGAAGGCTCATGAAAGAATTTAAGTTTCATCTCATCTTTCCCAACTTTGACAAGGAAAAAACATTGAATCAAATGTGCTTTCTTAGTAACTGGATGCTGCTGAGTAATTAACCGACTACAGATTCTAAAGATCAGACTGTTTGCATGGACTCTTTCTGTCTATTCTTCTGTGACCAGAAATGTTAGATGAATGGTTCCACAGGGAAATAGTCTCTAGTTGGAGAAGCTCTGTAGGAAACAAAACTAACCAAAGAAGGATGTGAGCACCAGTCTCTAAACTCTGCTTCCTGCATTCTGGCTACTGATGTGTTACATGGAAGGAGAGCTCCATAGTATATTTGCTCTGTGTTTTTGCTAAGGATCCCCTTATATAGACAATAAACAGTAAAACCACTTAGATAATTCATTTGCTCCCTATGTAAATTAACATCTGAACACTGAATTTCAAAGACTTAGTATGGAAAAAAGAATGTCAAATATCTCATTAATGATTTTTATAATGATTGTATATCAAGTTAGAGAAAATATATTATTTAAGTTAATTCACCTTTGCTTTTTATTGTATTAATGTAGCTAGTAGAAAATTTAAAATTACATATGCAGATCACATTTGTGGCCTGCATTATATTACTCTAATGTATTTCCCATATTCATCAAGAATCAGGATCAGCAGGGGTGTCTGGGTGGCTCAGTCAGTTGAGCATCCAGCTCTTGGTTTCAGCTCAGGTCATGATCCCAGGGTCGTGGGGTTGAGCCCTGTGCTCAGGGCTTAGCATGGAGCCTGCTTAAGATTCTCTCTCTCTCTCTCTCTCTCTCTCTCTCTCTCTCTCTCTCTCCATATCTGCCCTTCTCCCCCACTCACACTCTCTCTCTCTCTAAAATTAAAAAAAAAATAAAAATTTAAAATCATTTAAAAAATATTAAAATCATTTAAGAATTTGGACCAGCTAAGAGGAAAGGAAAAAGAACTGGTTATAGCTGAACAAATATGAATTACTATTTTCTTATTAAAAATTGAAATTAAATGTGGGTTTTTTCATTGTTTAGTGGTCAGTTTTAATCTTTAAGAAACTATAGCTAACATTTTATATTTAATGAAAAAAAATTCCTCTTTCTAGGTTACTGGTTGGTTCACCTTGGAGTGGTTTTCCTGAGAACCGAATGGGAGACGTGTATAAATGTCCTGTTGATCTGTCCACTGCTACATGTGAAAAACTGAATCTGCAAAGTAAGTGGTAATTAGAAATATGATTTTTTACAAATAACAAGATCTCATTGTTATAAACCTAACTAAAAAACAATAACAAAATCAATCATAATTCTGTCTTAAAGAAATAGAGACAGCTTTTTTTTTTTTACCTTTGTATCTTTAGTCATATGAGGTCCAATTGCATCCAGTCTTTCAATACAGATTGAAGACCTGATTTAACAAGATGCATGGGAAATGTGCTGCCTCATGGACCATCTAGCCCTAGACTGTGGACCACTTTCCATTAATGTTTAAGATTGTTTTGCTGATTCCTTACAGAAATCTAAGTTTATCCATACCTCTCTCCCTCCTCAAAACAGATTATTAAGTATACACTTGTCAGTACCATGGTTGCATTTAGAAGTAAGGAGAAATACTCTGTTTCTGGTCTTGACTGAGTAATTGCATTCTAAAAGAAAAAAAAAGTCATCATTTTGGATCCTTTGTGTTTGGAATTGCTGTTTTAATTATCCATATCTCAGAGGCTTTCTATTAATGCATAAAGTTATTAAAGGTGCAAGACTAAAAAGCTAAATAAGTCATATTTCCATGCAATATTTCCTGGTGCATCGAAAAAATTACTCAATTTAATCATGCCAAAAAAACCCAGCACTGACGAGTTTTAGAGTTCTGAAGAACTAAAATAGATTAGGAAATCTATGTTAGGGAATCAAGGGAAAGTAGAGATTCAAAAATAGTGATTGGGACTTAGAATCAAGGGCATGTTTCTTATACATCTTTGTATACCTAATTTCTAGCATCATTTCTGGCATAAGATAGGAGTTTAATCAACATGAGGTGGAAGGAACTTCAGTGGTGTCAAATGCTACCAAAGTTGAAGGGTATGAAGACTGAGTACAGATCATTAACTTATTTAAGGAGATAATGGGTGAACTAGATCAGTGCTCTTCAAACATTTTGAACATTCATCTATATAAGACATATATAATACATATTATAAACATACATTTACATACTATTTCTAAAAATAATAAAAATGTACACATTAGGAGTGAATGCTCAAAGGTTTTATTATATAGTTCAAACATTTTATTATATCACCCCCAGTGTACCATATCACCTCTAACATTTGAATACTCATCTCATATATATATGTATATATATTTTTTTAAGTTTATTTATTTAGAGAGACAGCGAGAGAGCTCGGGAGGGGCAGGGAGAGAGGAGAGAGAATCCCAGGCAGTCTCTGTACTGTCAGCAGGGAGCCCGATGCAGAGCTCAAACCCATGAACTGTGAGATCATGACCTGAGCTGAAGCCAAGAGTTGGATGCCTAACTGACTAAGCCACACAGGCCCTCCCATACTTTTTATTTTTTAAAAATTATATGCATGCACTGACTTATTATCTTCCTAAATAAAAATAAATTTAAAAGAATAAGCACTGCAATGAGATACCACCTCATACCTGTCAGAATGGCTAAAATTAATAATATAGGAAACAACAGATGTTGGCAAGGATGCAGAGAAGGGGGAACCCTCTTACACCATTGGTGGGAATGCAAGCTAGTGCAACCATTCTGGAAAACTGTATGGAGGTTCCTCAAAAAGTTAAAAATAGAACTATCCTATGACCAGAAATTGTACCACTAGGTATTTATCCAAAGGATACAAAAATACTGATTCAAAGGGGCATATGCACCCTGATGTTTATAGCAGCATTATCAACAATAGCCAAGTTATAGAAAGAGCCCAAATGTTCATCACTGATGAATGGATATGAAGATGTAGTATATATACAATTACAATTACTATTGTAACTCAGCCATCAAAGAGAATGATATCTTGCCATTTGCAATGACGTGGAAGGAGCTAGAGTGTATTATGCTAAGATAAATAAGTCAGTCAGAGAAAGACAAATACCATATGATTTTACTCATATGTGGAATTTAAAAAACAAAACAGATGAACATAGGGGAAGAGGTGGGGGGAAACAGAGGAAACAAACCAGGAAACAAACTCTTAACTGTAGAGACAAACTAAGGGTTGATGGAGGGAGGTGGGTGAGGGATGTCTAAATGGGTGATGGGTAGTAAAGAGGACACTTGTTGGGATGAGCGCTAGGTGTTATATGTAAGTGATGAATCACTAATGTTACTCCTAAAACCAATATTACCCCACATGTTAACTAACTAGAATTTAAATAAAAACTTGAAACAAACAAAAAGAATAAACACTGGGTGTTATATGCAAGTGATGAAACACTAAATTCTACTCCTGAAACTAGAAAAATAATTAATGAATCAAAAAATAAATTTAAAAGAATAAAAACATACACATAGCAGTTCTGTTATCTTCTTTCTGCACTCCAGCAGATCACATATTGCAAATTTCTTACCGTGACTATGAATCTAATAGTGTTGAGGGGAGAAATGGATCACAAAGAATTTAAGAGCATGTGAGGCATGAACAAGTTCTACAAGTAAAAGTAGCCCTTTGTTTACAGAATTTGAGTAGTGAAGGAGAGTTGGGAAAACGGATGGAGGAGCAGGGTTAAATGAAGATTTTCCTGATAAAAACAAATAATCGTATTTGTAGGGAGAGTAGAAGGAGGTGATGAAAGGGAGTAACTATTTATCAAGAGTAGAATTAACTAGTTGGAATTAACATCACTGGTCCATGGGAAAATCAGTCTTAGAAAGATTGCTCCTTTCTTGAAGACACAAAGGAAAGAGACAACAAAGAGGACTTCCAAGAATGACCTTTAGGTAAAGCTAATAAAATAATGGCCCTGGGTCAAGGAGGGTAAGTTAAAGTTAATGTTGGCTAGGCAGAGATTAGCCAACAAATTTAAACGTTATTTAATGTTTAAATAATACTGTTGAGGAGAATTGCAATGTTCCACAGCTCAAGAATGGATACAGTCAGTGGATGATGCCCTAGTTGAGTGGGAGAGAGGAAGTTGGGGATTATTATTTTACATGGCTAGTCTCATCATTTTCTTCTATTTTCTTATTTACCTTATTTATCTTATTTAAATCCAAGTTAGTGGGGGCACCCGGGTGACTCAGTCGGTTGAGTGTCTGACTTCAGCCCAGGTCATGATCTTGCAGTTCGTGAGTTCAAGCCCCATATCGGTCTTTGGCTGACAGCTCAGAACCTGGAGCCTGCTTTAGATTCTGTGCTTCCTTCTCTCTCTGTGCCCCTCCCCTGCTCACACTCTGTCTCTCTCTCTCTCTCAAAACTAAATAAACATTAAAATCTTTTTTCTAAATCCAAGTTAGTTACTATATAGTGTATTAATGGTTTCAGGAGTAGAATTGAGTAATTCATCACTTAAATACAACATCCAGTGCTCATCCCAACAAATGCCTTCCTTAATGCCCATCACCCATTTGGCCCATTCCCCACCCAACACTCCTCCAACAACCTCCAGTTTGTTCTCTGTATTTAAGAGTCTCTTATGGTTTGCCTCCCTCTGTGTTTTTAACTTACTTTTCCTTCCCTTCCTCTATGTTAATTTTCTTATTTAAATTCTACATATGAATGAAATCATATGGTATTTGCCTTTCTCTGACTGACTTATTTCACTTATCATAATATATTCCAGTTCTATCCACCTGTTGCAAATGGCAAAATTTCATTCTTTTTGATCACCAAGTAATATTCCAATATATATATATATATATACATACATGTATGTATATATATATTTACACACACACACACATATGTATACTACATCTTCTTTACCCATTCATCCGTTGTTGGACATTTGGGCTCTTTCCATAACTTGGCTACTGTTGGTAGTGCTGCTGTAAACATCGGGGTGCATGTGCCCCTTCGAATCAGCATTTTAGTATCCTTTAGATAAATACCTAGTAGGGCAATCGTAGATAGGGTAGGTCTATTTTTAATTATTTTAATGTTTACTTATTTTTGAGAGAGAATGAGTGGGAGAGAGGCAGAAAGAGAGGGAGACAGAGGTTCCAAAGCAGGCTCTGTGCTGAGAGCGTAGAGCTGGATATGGGACTTAAACTCACAAACCGTGAGATCATGACCTGAGCAAAGTCAGACACTTAAGTGACTGAGCCACTCAGGTGCCCAGTATTTTTAATTTTTTGAGGAACCTCCATACTCCTTTCCAGAGTGACTACACCACAACCAACATACAAACGGGTTCGCCTTTCTCCGCATCCTCGTCAACATCTGTTGTTTCCTGTGTTGTTAATTTTAGCCATTCTGACAGGCGGGAAGTGGTACCTCATTGTGGTTTTGATTTGTATTTCCCTGATGATGAGTGATTTGAGCATCCTTTCAGAATTTCCTTTTAAAATTCACTCACTACTGCTTTGGGCCAGATTCCACTATATGCCATTTTTATTTTTTTATTTTATTATTTTTTTAATATATGAAATTTATGGTCAAATTGGTTTCCATACAACACCCAGTGTTCATCCCAAAAGATGCCCTCTTCAGTACCCATCACCCATCCTCCCTTCCCTCCCACCCCCCATCAGCCCTCAGTTTGTTCTCAGCTTTTAAGAGTCTCGTATGCTTTGGCTCTCTTCCACTCTAACCTCTTTTTTTCCTTCCCCTCTCCCATGGGTTCCTGTTAAGTTTCTCAGGATCCACATAAGAGTGAAAACATATGGTATCTGTCTTTCTCTGTATATATATGCTGTTTTTAAATAACACTTTAGAGATATTTTTTTTCTGATCCAGAATAAAGCATTATATGGAGCCCTTGTGACCTTGAAAAGAGTGGGGGTTGGCAAATCGGAAACCAAATAGTGTCCTGAGATGTGTTTTGTTTGGCTAGCACTTTGTTTTTAAACATTTTAAACTTAAATGCCTATAAGTCATGCCCTTTCAGATACCACACCCAATATCTTACATTCTGTAGCCTCACACATTTAAATGTATGAGCTGCCAGATCACTGAAGGTCCTTCATTTCTCTACATGTGAATATATAACGTGAGTACCTGGATATATGACACTAAACTCAATGCTACATATAAACATGAGTGTGATTTTTTTTAACAACTTTAAATAAATGGCAACGATTTATTCACTTTTTAAAATCTTTTTCTCTGAAAGCTGCCACAAGCATTCCCAATGTTACCGAAATGAAAACCAACATGAGCCTTGGCTTGACACTCACAAGGAACGTAGGAACCGGAGGATTTCTCGTGAGTATTTACCTTTCAAATTCTCATCTGTCTCAAGAAAGTGTGAAGTTAGTGTCTTCTCGCCATCCTACCTATCAAATCAAATCTTGACATTTAAATATTAGAGTTTGCTTTGGCATAAATCATACCATGTGGATATCCAACGTGACATACCTATGTATTGGTATATAGGCTTATTAAGATACCAGTAAAACCATTGCCATAGAATGTCTTAGAAGAAAGCAGCAAAAAGAACACCAATCCTTTGCCCTTGGAAAGTGTGCTTAGCATTTGTTGATAACAACATAATTCTAGGTCCTGTTTCTTCTTCCCATAGGAATTTTAAGATAGGTACTGCTAATTCAGAGAGTGCATTTCCAGGCTGAAGAGTATTTCTGTCTTTAACCATTTGCTATAACCCTTTGGCAAATCTGATATCATTTAAGTCATGTCTTGGTCCCTCATCTTATTTCATGTTAGTGTTTATTCTCATTGAGTTTCTAGAATGCTGTGAGAAAACATTACAAGTCAGTGAAATAGAAATACCTTCTTTAACAAGTGGTTTGGGGACAACTAATTGTTTAATAACTTGTATATCCAAATATACTTTCAAGTGGATTAGAGTTAATGTAAAAAACTGGAAGAAAATGAAAATTTTAGAAAATTTATAAGCTTGGAACTAACAGAAGAAATAATATAGGAAATTGTTGAAAAGATTAATTTGACTATATAAAAAAATGAAAACCATCACATGCCAAAAAAAAAGTTTTTGAGGCAAATAAAAACCCAATCTTACTAGACATTTCCACCAGCATATAGATGATCCTAGTTATATTTATTGCCCTGTTAAAATAGCCATAGAAAACTTAATTTAACTTTACATTAGTTATGTCTATACCATCGACATGCTAACTCAAAAGCCTAGATGTATAACTTAACTATTCTAAGAATATAATTAATTTTGAACAATGTCATTCTCCTTTTACTAATAGATATTAGTATTCAAACATTGGTACCACTCAATAACTCAGATATTACTTATAATATGTGTAATTCAAAGCATAAATAAATAGTGCAATGAATCTTCATTGTTCATGATATTCTAAAGTTTTAAAAATAGGATTGTTTTCGTCTCTTTTTGTTTGCTTATTTGCTTTTGAGGTTGAATAAATTTAAGAAAAGGAACATATTGAGATATAGGGATTACAGGACGTACTTCTAAATTTTCAATTTGTAACTTCAGATAAAGTAAAATAAAATTGCAAGAGAATTTAAGACATTAATTTAACAACCAATGTAGCAAGCAGAGAAGGAGGGAAGAGAGAGGGAAGGAGAGAGAGGGAAAAAAAAGAAAAAAAAAATCCAAAGCTTCCTTTACATACCTAAAAGGTCAAAATCTTAAGATACTCTTAAGAATTATGTGGAAAAGGCTGACAATCATCACATTTTTTTGAAACTGCTTAAGTTCTGGGCTTAAAGCAGGAATGTAGTTCTGGCATTAACAATTGGCATATTCTAATTTCAACTTCTTAATGCTGTTTTCCATTGCTTTTAAAACAAAAAAAAAATTCTTGAACACTTCCTGAGTTATTATTTTTCAAGGTGATTTTAAAAAACCAACTTGGGGATGGGGATTGATTATACTAATCAACATAATTGGTATTCATTATTTGGTAAACTAATCAAAGGCATCAACTGTGATTTTTCCCTTAACTAATTGGCATCATGAAGTAGTGTTATAGGAGGAAGAACTATGGATTATTCACTGAGCATGAACTATGACCACAGCTGCTTTTCCTTTGAGCAACCAACAATTAAACTGGGTCAAACAAATTCCCTTTTATTCTTCCAATTGTTTTTTTTTTTTTTTTTTTTTTTTTTTTTTTTTTTTTTTTTTTTGCAGGTTCATACTTTTTTGTTAAATTTTAATAATTGAACCAGAGCTTTACATAATGTTAAACTTTGTAGATGCTCTTTAGGATCTTAACTAGACTTCCCTTTCCCATTTTTCTCCTTTTACATCTAGCAGTTCTAACAGGATTTAATGTAATGTTTTTCTGGTGTGATTTAATCACAATTTTATCAGGAGTTCTTGGCATTGAAAGGCTGATGAAAAGGAAAGATCTGAGATTGGGTTAATGGAGATATTAAGAATTGGAGTATGTATGATGTGGGCAAGGAGACAAGTGCCAGCTTGGATGACTTTTAGGCAGTGGAAATAGGGGGATCAGAAGTCCTCAAATACTTTATAACATCATTAAAAGCTGGCAGTTCATGTACCTCATTTGTGTTTATTTAGTGGATTTTCCCAAAGAATTTGTCTTCTTGGACTCTCCTTGAAAATTTGGAAGATCTGGCAAGGCTGGCAATGGGCAGGAGCCATGGTGGCCTGCCCTTGTGTATGACACCTGGACTCTTCATTTACCATGGCATCTATACTAGCCCAGAGCACTCTTAGGTTCCTGCCTGATCCTGGGGCTTGTGGGTTCATGGTTTCCGCTGAATAGAATAAGTGGTAGTATACATATAATACAATAGTAAAAGTGAATAGTATAACCTTTGTTCAAGATAACAGTAGGGAAACCTGGGGTTCAGTCGGGTAAGCATCTAACTCTTGATTTCGGCTCAGGCCATGATCTCACAGTTCATGGGTTTGAGTCCCCACCCCCACCCCCACCCCGCCATCGGGCTCTGCACTAACAGCACAGCATGGAGACTGCTTGGGATTCTCTTCTTCCTCTCTCTCTCTCTCTCTCTCTCTCTCTCTCTCTCTCTATCTATCTGCACTCCACCCCCCTGCGCTCCCTCTCCGTCAGAGTGAGTAAATAAATAAAGTTTGGGGGGAAAAAAAGAATAACAACTGTAGTGATGCTGGCTAACAACTATGTGCCATGTGTTATTTACCCCACACTGTTCTAAATGCTTTACATCTAGAGAACCATTTAATCTTCACAACACCTTGCATGATAGTAGATATGATTATCCTCATTTATAGATAAAACCCCTGAAGTCCAGATAACTGAGAGACAAACGATGAAGGAAAGCACCTCCTTTCTCTAGTTCGGTGACCTGAGGGTCTCCTCCCTACACCGCTGACACCTGTCTCCCAGCCCAGCTGCTATCTTCTCCCTCCCTTCTGTTTGTTCTTTCTTTCTGAGGCACTTTCTCTCAGAGGCTTTTTTGACCCGATAGTTTCAAGAGTTGACAATTTCTAGTATCTTGTGAAATCACAGAAATGATCTCTGGGGGGGGGGGGAGAGAAAGAAAGAAAGAAAGAAAGAAAGAAAGAAAGAAAGAAAGAGAGAGAGAGAGAGAGAGAGAGAGAGAGAGAGAAAGAAAGAAAGAAAGAAAGAAAGAAAGAAAGAAAGAAAGAAAGAAAGAAAGAAAGAAAGAAAAGAAATGATCTCTAAGTTTTACAAATGGAGAAGTAGAAGACTAACATTTTCCATGTGTTTTGTCATTGTTCTCATTTCTTTGAAGACGTGTGGTCCCCTGTGGGCACAGCAATGCGGAAGCCAGTATTATGCAACTGGTGTTTGTTCTGATATCAGTCCCAATTTTCAGCTCTTGGCCAGCTTTGCACCTGCAGTTCAGAGTAAGTGATGAATGTGCAGAGGGTCCGAGCAATACCTTACATGAAGGGCAGAGGCGGGATTTATCAAGTACCACCCAACCCCTCTCAAGTCCATTTTACTTTGTCCTATTTGCATATAAGTGTGAAGAGTGAATTAACAATGGAAATCTGTTTCTTTCATCTTTTCCTGTGTAGCCTGCCCTTCCCTCATAGATGTTGTGGTTGTATGTGATGAGTCAAACAGTATTTATCCCTGGGATGCAGTAAAGAATTTTTTGGAAAAATTTGTACAAGGCCTGGATATAGGCCCCACAAAGACACAGGTATGGACATGAATAATACATACACTAACCCACAGATTTCTTTCTAAGAAAATATTCTTAGATATGAGATCTTAATATTTGCATTTGTCAAATCCCCACATTAAATGCATTTAATGTTAACCTTGACAGTTAATTGAAATTTGCACTACATTGAGTTTTTCTGTCTATGACGTTGCCCAGTGTTGGTCTTTGAGCTTAGATTTCTATTTCTGACAGGCATCAGATATAGGATATAGCATTTTCATCTTTTTCAGCTGCTTATTTTTCCCTCCTATAACTTACGAATTTATCAATACATTTTAAAATCCAATATGTAGTATTTTCTTGACAGCCACTTGGACTAATAATTAATTTCTTTTGTTGTCCTTGAATTTCTGGGATTTTTGTAGAGAAGTCAATAGACAGTCAATAGGCGCCTGGGTGGCTCAGTCCATTAAGCATCAGACTGATGATCTCACAGTTCATGAGTTCGAGCCCTGCATCAGGCTCTCAGCACAGAACCTGCTTCAGCTCCTCTGTCCCCTCTTTCTCTTCCCCTCCCCTATACATACTCCCACATGCTCTCTCTCTCTCTCTCCCTCCCTCTCAAAAATGAACATTTTTAAGTCTATAAACAGCATAATCCTATCTTGTTATTTTTTAGTCTTTTATCATATTTTACTCAGCCCTTGCTTTTTTACACAGAATAAGACTTTTTAATAATTTTGTATAGCTCTCCATGTTTTAAGGAGTCTTTAATTTGCTTTTCTATCTTCTTGAGATAGGCATCCAAAACTCAGGAACAGAAGCTTCACGCTTCCAGAAAACTGAATAACATTTATTGTTAAAGTTCTGGGTCTTCTTTCTTTCTCTCCTATTGGATTTGCCCTTTCACGGTCATTCTGGTTGAACCAATATCAACAGAGCCAGTTGACAGAGTTCCCAGTGTATATTCTTGGGTTGTTCCTGTCATCTGATGCCTTGTGTCCAACATCTAGTAACAATTGTTGGAACATCTTCCCCTAAATGCTTCACAGTTAGCTATATTGAAATTTGATTTTCTGCTTTCCTGTACAGTATTACAAAATATTATTATACGTTTTCCATTGATGTTGCTTTTCAATAATAAGAGGACATTAATGTTCAAATCTTTGGAGGTTTCACTGTGGGCTTTTACCAGAAAATTCTATGAATAAGACCAGGTATAGCATTTCTTTCTGGATAGCATCCTGTAAAAGTCCCATTATAAGAGAAGTTTTCCTAGGTATCTGCTTGTTTTATCCATCTCTAAATGGACTTACCCCATAACATGACTTACTATATTTAATAGTCTCTTGAATGGAATTCATGGCCTTCCTCTTCTTGTCTTCCTACCCCCATGCATTTTCTTCATCTCTAGAGGTGATTTACACAGTCTCTTTTTCTTACCATCTAAATTTGACCTTTCTGTAAGTCCTAATATACTACATTTCCTTAAGTCTTCTATTCATTATTCCCCTTTCTCACACAGGAGTTTTGGGACTGTCATACCATCTTCCTCTCATATTAGACTTTGAAATTCATAGAGTGATTTTTGATCCTGTCCTCTCTCTCAAGTCTTACATCCTGTCCTAAAGAGAAGGCTCCACAAATATATTTTTCACATCTTCCCAGTGCCTACTTCGTTGCTTCCTAGCAAAAGTAGCTGATTGAACTCAGAAATCCAGGCCTTGCCCCTTCCACCTTCCTTACGTACTGACCTCTATCTTAAGGACCCTTTTACAATACTGACCTCTTGTTGCTACTTCCTATTCTAGAAGCCCCCAACTCCTATGCACAGAGGATGATTTCAGTGCTGAGAATAAGGACATTAATAGAAGTATTTGGCCTTCTTGATCTAAAGAATTAGGGTATGTGCCCCAACCTTGTTCAGAAGTTGTTCCATCTGTCAGATTTCTCAGATGAGACTCTCTAATGGCATTTTCTCTGAAGGCCAAAAACCTCCTGCCTGCTTGCACATATAGCAGCTTTCTTCCAAAGATGCTAAAGTCTGTGATTAGAGGAAATCCAGAACAATAAATGCATTCAAATTGACTGTTTTGATTAGCTCACTCTTTTTTTCTTTCATTTTCAAATATAATTCTTTGTTTATTTGGCACCTGTTTTTAATTGATGAGCTGTTATCTTCCATCTGTGACTGCTTATAATTGTTTACATGTATATATACATTGTTGATCAGAAAGTTTATATCATTTTAATCTTTCTGTTATGAACTGGATTCTAATATTATCCATATTAAAATATTATAAGGCACTGCTTAAAAATCCATTACTAGATAATCTATAACTATTGTAGTCAAAAATCTATACATATTACTCTTGAGAACCAAATCATATATGATAGGACCTGATCTTGCTTATCAACAAATACTACTGCTGTAACTAACAGCCTCTAACAAAGAAGTCATTCCATTGGAAGAAAAGTAGCTATTCTTAAGAACAAAATTGAAAATGCATATCAAATCCTATCGTCCCACTTCAAATGCACTTTTGATTTTGATTTCTATTGGTTAATTAGAAATTATTTATAACTTAATGACAAGCCTTTAATAAACTTATGCTTTCTTGAAGGTGGGGTTAATTCAGTATGCCAACATACCAAGAGTTGTATTTAACCTGAACACTTTCAAAACCAAAGCTGCAATGATTGAAGCAACATCCCGGACATACCAATTTGGTGGAGATCTCACAAATACATTCAAAGCAATTCAATATGCAAAGTAAGTTATAATGTAAATCGCCCAAATATTTTGATAAAATAGAAGTGCTTTTTTTTTTTTTTTTAAATTTTTTTTTCAACGTTTTTTATTTATTTTTGGGACAGAGAGAGAGCATGAACGGGGGAGGGGCAGAGAGAGAGGGAGACACAGAATCGGAAACAGGCTCCAGGCTCCGAGCCATCAGCCCAGAGCCAGACGCGGGGCTCGAACCTACGGACCGCGAGATCGTGACCTGGCCGAAGTCGGACGCTCAACCGACTGCGCCACCCAGGCGCCCCTAGAAGTGCTTTTAAGTAAGAAAGAAGAAAAAGAGACAAAGAAAAATAACATACTTAGTGCCCACACTTAAATCAGAAGTAATTAAGAAAAGTTCAAACATTCTGTCATTTGAACACTTTGAGAAGGCACTAGGAAACGAAACTTTAAAGTCTTAGATTTCTAGGATTTTTATAAAATATTCCATGACTTTTGAAGAAGATTTTATATAAAGTAAAGGAAACAACATTAAAAGACCTTAGGTTAAGTAGGAAATGGAGCAATCTCCAATTATTTGTTAGTATTTATCAAGGCCACAGACAACTTGAGCTAATGGAGCCCTTCATGCACATTAAGAAGGGCCATAGAATCTTACATGTTTATGAACTTGGAGTATGAATTGAATGGAATGGGCTCACTATACTTATTACAGTCCGGGTGGTGTGAATGTTACAACTGTATAACCCTCTCTTAATTTTTAGCTCAGTGTCTCTGTTTTCTCAGAACTCCTTTTAATCATATACCTTTACAAAAATGCTAAAGACTCTCCTATTGTTAAAAAATAAATGAGAACAATAACTTCACCTTCCTTTAAGCCTACCTCCTGCCTTTGTCATCTTGTGCATTTCTTCCTTCAACTACCATAACTCCTTGAAAAATTGTCTATTTCCCACCCCGCCTCCACTTCCTTGAAACATATGGCTTGCCTCCAGGTGAACGTAGCTCTCTTTATCAGCCAACAACCCAGTGGTGCTGCCTCAAACCTCATCATCTTTAGCTTCCCTTGCCATTTGCCGACGACGAACACAAACTGTTATTCCAGCCCCAGTTGCCATGACATCACAAACTTCTAGAATCCCTGCCAGCTTTTTGTCAACAATTTTGCCTCTTCACTGGCTCCTTTTCCTATCTTTTCTTTACTAAACAGAGCCCTCTTTTTTTTTTTTTTTTTTAATAGCTCTTTTCTCTTGGGCATTGTCTCCACTCTCATGGCATCCACATTAGCCCTGTGTGGGTCACCGCATTGCTATGTAGTCATTCTGAATTCCCCTCCCAAAAATCCACACAGGCATTCAGTTGATGCTGGGTATATTTAATTTGGAGTGTTGGCTCACTTCTCAAATTCAATACATCCTAAACCAGCCTTCTTCTTTTCCCTACCCATGCTCCTGACTTTGCCGTTTGACTCACGCTACCACCTTTCCCCCAGGCATTCAAAGTAAACACTTGCTGGTTTTCTTTATTCTTTCTGTTCTCTCTTAATCGCACACATCTGGTCAGTCACCACATCCTGTCCTTTCTATTTCTGCATTTCCTATTGTATCCGCTCATTTTTCTGGATGTATATTGTAGTTGCTGTTTCTATCAACCATTGACTTTCCCTATATGTCTCATAAGCAGATGAGAAGATATGATTGGTTTGGTTAATCTCTATTGTCCCCATTGAGATGTTCTTTTGGGCCACGCTATCTCTGCTGGCCAGTCCATTGCCTTTCGGTGAAGTGCCCTTTATAGGCCAGTAAACTAGACTCAGAGGAAAAGTAGGTTGACATAGAAAATGGCCTAGAAGAAGCTACAGACTGCAGAGGGCTTTTGTTTTCAACAGAAAGTATGGATGTGGTATTTTTCCCTGTGAGGAGCCTGGGGACCTGGTAAGCTTTCCTCTCAAGAAGAATGGTCACTGTCTGAAGATGTGACTTTTTTTTAGCTTTTTTTTTTTTTTAATTTTTTTTTTTTTACTTAACATTTATTTTTGAGACAGAGAGACAGGAGAGCATGACCGGGAGGGTCAGAGGGAGACACACAGGAATGAATACTCCAGGCTCTGAGGCTCACTGTCAGCCCAGAGACTGACGCTGGGCTCAAAAACCCACGACTGCAAGGAGATCACACCTGAGCCAAATCGCAAATGTGGGCCGTCAACCGACTGAGCCTCCCAGCTGTTTCCACTTTTTTTTTTAGCTTTATTGTCCTTAGGATCCTTGTTTTTCCCATCATCTCTCAAGACCACTTTTCCCATCTGGGTTAGACACTGAAATCTTATGCCACATGCTTGAGACTCACGACCACTTAGCATTTTATTTTCCATCATCACCCAGCCTCCAGGCCTTTGAGAAAGAGGGCTGAGGCCATGAGCTGCCAGCTGGGGCAGCAGCGGGGTAGGGGGGGGCAGAGAGAGAGGGAGACTCAGAATCTGAATCAGGCTCCAGGCTCTGGACAAGTCAATGAGTTCGACGCGAGGGCTCTCTGCCCCAAATCATGAGATGACCTGAGCCAAACTCTCTGACACTAACTCACTGACAATATTAGTTACCCTGAGTGTGAGTGAGAATCACTTAACTGCTTACCACATCTTCCAGAATTTAATTACCTTTCTTTTTTTTTTTTTTTTTTTTTGGTCTGTTTCTTTACAACATCAAATAGAATTCTGACTCTGTTTCAGTAAATATTGCCATTTTCCATTTATCTTATTTCATTGTGTGCCTATGGTTATCATCTATTATTCTAAGACCTGAAGGTAATCGGAACAAATGAGGCACAGTTTCTGCCCTCAGAAATCTTATAATCATGCATGAGTTCATAAAGAGTATAATTCACTCAACAAATATTTCATGTAAGTACTGTATTCAAATTTGGGTGACAAATATAAAATCTTTTTCTATCCTTCTACATTCTATATAGAATACAGGAAAGTTTTAGGGATTAAAATGATATTCGCAGTGTTAAACATACTAAAATTAAAGTGTCCTTTGCACATTCAGGTGAAAATATTTAGCAGGCATTGAATACATAAATTTGAAATGAGAGAAATAAATGGAAAAAGATGTAGACTTTCAGGTGTCATCATATAGGTGGTAGGTAGTCCAAAGGAGTGGGTGGCATTCCTCAGAAAGAAATACAAAAAGAGAATCCAGTAGACAGAGAAAATGTTATTGGACAACCGGATACCCATCTAAAAACAAAATAAAGCTGAATCCCTGACTCAGTCAAATCAAAATAAATTTCAGCTGCACCAAAAATTTAAATCTAGGAAAATGGAATTATTAAAAGACTATGAGAAACTGGGTGACTAAAAGAAACAAGTCATACAGCTCAGAGCCTGGAGCCTGCTTCATATTCTGGGTCTCCCTCTCTATCTCTTCCCCCTCCCCCACTCATGCTGTCTCTCTCTGTCTCTCAAAAATAAATAAACATTAAAAAAATTTTTTAAATAAAAAAAAGAAACAAGTCATAGAGATAAGAAATCCTTTTAAAATACCATGTCAAATATAAAATAGACACATAAAAAGTTAATGAAATTGATTGTATCAAAATATTAAATTTCTATTTAAAAGATTAATGAACTGAAGAAAATATTTATATATATATATGACAAAAGATAATTTTCTTGACTAACAAAGATCTTATTATTTAGAAAAATAATGAACAATACAAAGAAAAATGGACAAAGATAAAGAAAAATCAAGAGTTCATAGAGAAAAAATATAAATGGCTAATATAAAATGCTCATTATCTCTTCATAATGAAAAAGTACATATTAAAACAATGATATATTATTTCTCACTTATCAAAATGCCTTCAATTTAAAAGTTTAATAATCCTCATTGTTAAGGAAAGGAGATGGAGAAACTTGCATTTTTTTACATTATCGTAATATAAATTGGTGGAAATTTTTAGAGGACAATCTGGCAATATCTGTCCAAATTTGAAATGTGTAAATCCTTTGTCCCAGTAGTTTCACTACTAAGATTTTATCCTAATGACACAGTTGGAAAAGTATGCCGAGATACATACACAAAGACATTTATTACAGTATTACTTGTAAAACTCAAAATGCCCTAAATGCACAATAATGAGGAATTGGTTAAACTATGGTTACCCCCAAATAATGAGATATTAGGCAGCCATTAAAAAAGGAGAGCTTTGTATGTGCTGGTATAGAAAGAGCTCCATGAAAATGAAAAACAAGTGTATAGACTATGCCCCCATTTGTGTGAATGTTTGAGGAATAGACTATGCACATACATCTAAAGAAAATGTTTTCTATAAGGGAACATAAATTGATAAAAATGGTTTCCTTTGTAACAGTGGCTTGGTGTCACATTTTTAAAAAATGTTGATTTGTGAGAGAGAGTGTGTGTGTGGGCATGTGAGCAGGGAAGGGGCAGAAAGGAGGAGACAGAGGATCTGAAGCGGGCTCTGCAGTGACAGCAGAGAGCCCTGTGTGGGGCTTGAACTCACAAACTGTGAGATCATGACCTGAGCTGAAGTCAGGTGCTTAACTGACTGATGAGAGACCCAGGTGCCCCTACATTTTTATTTTATACCTTTCCAGGGGCTTCTGGGTGTCTCAGTCAGTGAAGCGTCTGACTCTTGATTTCTACTCAGGTCATGATCTCATGGTTCATGAGATGGAGCCCTGCATCAGGCTCCACGCTGTTAGGGGAGCCTGCTTGGGATTCTCTCTCTCCCTCTGTCTTTGCCCCAGACCCCACTCACACTCACACACACACACAC